TGCTCACCTCCACACCAGTCTGGTTTCTTTAGGTCGCACTCACTCTGTTTGCCTCATCTCCTCCTTCACCTCCCGCTTCTGACAGCCGATGTCGGGTTTCCAGGAGAGCAGGAGAGGGAGGGACGGAAGAGCTCGACTGAATAATTTTACATCTTGACATTAGCTGTACAAAGTCTGAGTTTGATAAAGTGAAGAACAACAATTTGCAGAGGTTTATAACAGGCGCAGCGCCAGGTTTTCATTTTTGGGTGGGCCACGGCAATTTTGGACGGACCTTAATAAGCAGTGACTTAAGTGAAGCAGGCAGGTCGCGCTAGAAAATTTAGTTTAAAAAGACATCATAAATGTGTTCCCCCGTCATTTTTATTTCTAAAATATGAAGTAAAAACTCCCAATTTAATTTTCATTCATTTGTCATTAATATGTAGTCTACACCCGTGCGTTAATTGGACCATCTTCCAGTAAAAGCAAAGCATCCAGCCCACCTCTCCAAATGCATAAAATGTGCATCAGCCGCTAGTTAGGCGCGCCGCGCGCACCGTCAGCTACGTCAGCCCAGACAAGAGCAGAGCAACTAGAGACAGAATAGAGGATAATTGTGTCTGGATGTGGATGGAGATTACATTTTACAGCAGCCTGATCATCATTTAAATACGTAAACCATCACCTGTCTTCTAGTCCACGCTATCAGCATTATTTTAATTGGTGTGTGTGTGTTTGTGTGTGTGTGTGTGTTTTCCACTTCAAACACTGGTCTAACCAACCAGACCAGTGTGTCCAGTAACATATTAATGTTTCACTTCATGTAGGAACATTCCACCTGCCGTGGCTCGACCGCTTCTGCTCCACATAAACTTTGTGCGTGATCAAATGTCTCTACAGGAGCTTTCTGAGCTGAAGAGGCTATTCTGCCTCAGACTGTATGCGTCATGCGTCTCCATATTAGAGACGGGAACAAGCGCTGTTCAGCCAAAGTTTCATAATTTCATAAAAAGAACATTTTTCCAGGTGACACATCCCTCAGAGAGACCGGGTTTCCAGACCGCTTCAGTGGGAGGAAATCTTATCGCATCACCGTGGTTCTGCACTGCGAACCCCTCTACAGATCTTCAGCCCACTGTCCACCGTGGGCGCTCCGAGCCGCACTGAACACAGTGTCCAGTATAAAGCTCTGAGGTTCTGATGGGAATCATTTCTTGATTGATTTAGTTACCTCTGCGATGTGTGTAACGATTAAAATGTCGGCTCATCCATGTGCATCAGTGTGCGTCGGGGTAATTCTTTCAAAACAACCAACATCCTTGAGTTTATCCGTCAAAATAAAAGTCAAATGGAAATATCTGTAACCTGCCATTTAACTGTTTTGTCTTCTTGTGAAGATTGTTGCAAAGAGAAACAACTAAACCTGATTAACCCCAGAGCCACGCATATAAGTTGTACTTCTGACTGTAAATGAGGGGAAAATGATTTAATCGGATCCTTTTCTTTTCAACATGGTTTAATGTAAAGTTTCATTCAGTACAAACTTTAGTTACACCGATCTAACGAGACAGAGCCTGGATTTGTATTCTGAACAGTTTAAACATGTTTAAAACGGAGACATGCGTGACGCATATAAAATTTGCACCTGCTCCGCTATTATGGAAATTAAACTAACAAGATGAATAACATGAACTTATTTTAGGCACAGACAACATCCCCCACACTTTTGAAAATCTTGCAACGTGCCTGGTCGCTCGTGTACGTCAAAGTTATCTTTCATAAGACGATAATCAATAAAACGATTTATATAAAGTGGATCCAGAAGTTGTAGCCCGTCTCTGCTACAATATTTAGATATTTTTCACCCTGTTGGTGGTTTTACTGAGCAGGTGCCACTTTTGTCATACGTTTCTTTTTAAAACATGTTTAGACTGTTCAGAATACAAATCCAGGCTCTGTCACGTTTGATTGTTGTAATTAAACTTTGTAGGTGGGGAAGGTCAGAAAAGGATCCGATCATTTTGTTTTTCCCTCATTTACAGTGACGGAGATAACGGCGCAGTGCGCCTGGCTCTGGTGTTAATCATGTTTAATTTTATCTCTTTGCAACAATTTTCACAAGAAAACAGAACAGTTAAAAGCAGGGCTTGTGTTGTGTTGACCGGACAGTTCCCGTATTTGACCGTTTATTTTGACGGAGAAAGAATAGAAAGAATTACCCCGACGCATGCAGACGAACTGACACTTTATTCTACGCACATCGCAGATGTAGCTAAATCACTCAAGAAATGATTCCCATCTGAACATCTGAGCTGGACACTGCTCAGCGCAGCTCACTGTCAGCGTGCACTACATAAGGTCCACAGCGAGCTGAAGATGTGGAGAGGGGCTTGGAGCGCGTCGCAGAACCAGAGCGCATGCGGGAAGATTCCTCCGACTGAAGCGAGTGTTTTCCAAACCCGGTCTCTCAGAGAGACTTGCCACTTAGAAAATGTTCCCTGATGATGAAACTTTGGCTGAATAGCGCTTGTTCCTGTCTCCAATGTGGCGACACATCCAGGAGCCGTCTGAGGAGAATCCCAGAATCTCACATCGTCTTCAGCTCAGAAAGCGCCGATATGATTACGCACAAGCGTGACGCGTCAACCCGGTCTCACAGTGAGACCGGGTTCGACCTGTTCAGGTTTACGCAGACAATCATTACATTTAGAATTGGCACACAGATGTAAAATTAATGCAGTAAAATATAAAGCTTTTTATTTAAATATCCATTCATTATTTTACAAGCACAGAGAGCCGCATCAGATGGATGGAAGAGCCGCAGGTTGCCGACCCCTGTGCTAGCCTACTTTATTGTCCCCAGCAATTTTTAAACCCCACTCAAGTGTATGGTTTTTGTCCCCAGCAATTCTGAAAACAATCTGACGCCCTTGGGCGTGATACATGAAGAGGAACCAGGTTCACACAGTCACGGAAGAGAAGGTTGAGGAGGAGGTGTAGCTGCATTGGATATCCCGAAGATGCATGCGACCAGCATAAGATACTTTAATAGACCAGAAACCTAAAATTTTGTAGAATGACTGGGGTCACTGGATCACTGGGGTCACAGGACGCACCATGGGGCATGTTTCACCTTTGGAGGACTTGTCGTTGTGACTGAGTCATGTGCAGGTTGAACAGGTGCAGTAGGAAGTGCACTCTGTTCTGCAAAAGAGACGAGTAGAACTCTGTTAGTCTTTGAGCGGTCTTCTAATACACAAAGTGCACATTTCAACGCTTCGCGCATGGTCTCAGGAGGCCTGCTACCGGACTCAGCTCTTGACCTTGGATGTAGCGTCCAGTAATGTTCAGTTTTCACCAATATATTTGATCAACATCATCTGCAAGAACAAATCCACTGTCTGGGTGGATTTTCTCTCCTGTCTCCTAAAGTCCAGGTCCCTGCAGTTCTTAGCACACTAGATGACATACTGTCAACAAACTGTTCTTTTCAAGGCCTCGGCTTTCCTCCTCATCACTTCTACAGGATTCCACACGCTGAATGAAAAATGAACTTTTGCAACTCATGAGTTAAATAATCATTAAATAATCATATGGTTGAATGAATCAAATGTTATTTGAGTAATAATATTAATGTTTGGATAATCTGTGCCTAATTCAGTGAAGTGAAATGAATATTATTATTACACTGAGAGATTTATATGTTCTGATCAGTGAAGTTTGATTTAACAAGTGAATCATTATCTACACTTATACACAATGTTCATAAGATATAAATTACGGTTGAGGTCACATCTCACAAAAGTTTAAAGATCATTTATTCACAGAGTTAGAACATCTTGTATCTGAAGGTATGGTTTCTGAGGGATGTTGGTAACGTCAAACATGTCGAATTCTGATTCGCAGAAATGATAAACTCAAGATCATTAAAACTAGAGTGACTGCCGAGTTACTCAGTTGAGTTGGGTTTTTGACCCTTTTGTACATTACGTCTGCTAATGTTCAGGTGCTTTTACCTGCTGTGGTCGTCTGCAGAGCAGTTCTTGTCCTGCTGCAGGCTAAACTCTTTCTTGCACTCTTAGCACATACAGGGAGTGTTTTCTTTTTACAGAGTGGACCTGTTTCACCCCTGACCTGCCCTCTGTGCTTGTCCATTCCTTCTCCACTGGTCCAGAGGACAGGGGTGTGACCTTGAGCGGAGGTCACTAGAGGGTTTTCATCCTCACCGAGCAGCTGTGCACACTGCTGCTCCTGAAATGGTTGATGCTTCAGGGCCTCCTTCTGCTGCTTGTGGCTGATTTGTTGTGGAGCTGGTGGTGAGAGGCAGCGGATAGCCAGGGGATCTTCTGGGGATAAATCTGGGTGTCGTGGGTCGACGGTACCTGGGTCTGACTCTGTTGTCCAGGAGTCCAGAAGATGTGGAGCATCTCCTGCAGCATCCTGTCTCTGACATTGTCTATTGCTGGTGATGGTGGATGGCTCTTCATCAGAAGCATCTCTAGAATTATAAATAGATCAGATTTTATTAAACATACTCAAGCAGTAAGTACTAGAAAATGAAAACTGTAAAAAACACAGAACTAAAGCTAGAAATATATTTGAACTGTAGATAAACTCACAGCAGCTGTGATGGAAAATCATCTTCATCCCCACCTGGATCCTCAACCACAGATGTGTCTTCCTGGAAGTAGCCGTTCATGCAATATTTTATTCCAGACATTTTTACTCATTTTGAACACTTTTGTGAACTGGTGCATTTTTCACAATCATTTGGCAGCATTGTCACATATTTTCCATCTCCAATCACACATCTTAACATAGGCTGTGCAGTTTTCTGTGTATTAATGAGATGATTTCTCTCTGTGAATGTTATTTTTGCTCTGGTGACTTTTGCGGAGTAAATTAATGATCTTTTTGCTCCTATTTCCTCCCTTATCCCATCCCTCATGAATTCTCCTGCCCATTTATCCCTCTTATGTTTTCGTGGTCACCCTGTCCCTCACCCCCCCCATCTACAGCTGTATGCTGCAAAAGGCACCGTGAAGCTGGTAAAAGGCGACAAGCAGCCCAAGTCAGAGGCGAGCAAGAAGTCACTCACCAAGTCTAAACTACAGTATATGACGGGTCTGAAGAGATTCTCCCCATCGTGCAGGTCTGGGTGGTGTGTGGCAGTGTCTTCTGCCGCTTTTGATGAGACGGTAGAAGATGCGTGTTCCTCAGCACATTTGGATGAGCTGCAGGGGGTCACATCCAACTGCTTCTTCCCTCCTCCACCTCATGACCTTCCTCTTGACCACATCTCTGTTTGCTCAAGGAGCAATAGTCATCCCTGATCTCTGTGAGTATATCTCCACGCGTAACATCTCTTGACACCCTTGCCTATACGCTTTAATTGTTCTGTTAATTTTAATATGAATGAGTTACATAATCATTGAGTGTTCAGTAGAAAACTAACCCCAAAATTCCACTATCTCCGCTCCGCTCCACCCCCGCTTTCCACTGCCGCTCGCTTCCAAACTCATTATACTGGTACCCGCTCTACAACGGCTCTGCTCCGGTGCGGAGACCTGAGGTGCGCAAACAAGCATGCGCGGGATTTTCGAGATCTTGCGATACAGTCCGAGCAATAAACGCGGAAGTTAGATCCAAACACCCGTTGTGTGGGAGAAGCATCGGCATGAACTGTTTAATCTGCCCATCATGTGTGTTGAGAGATCAGCAGTGTTTGGATCAACAGGGTGACTACTTTGATAGTAGAAACTGTATTTATGGCTTACTTTTGTGCATTTAAACTTCAGCCGCCATTGATAGTTGTTAAAAGTTGTTAAACCTGTGCATATGAAACAAAAAACGCCTTTTGTTTATCGATTTATTGTGAAAAACGGAAGTTGTGCTTGCTCCTTTTCCTGTTGGGTGGTTGTGATTTCTGTCCATTGACTGCGGAGGTGCTCCGGCGTCCGGCAAAAATAGAATCAATCCTATTTTTGCCGGATGGTGGAACGGCGGGCGGCGCACGGCCGCAGTAGTGGAACAGCCCTGATTGACTACAATGGGACCGATTTTGCTGCGGAGTTCGTGCCGGAGCGGAGAAAGTGGAATTTTGGGGTCAGAGCAAGGAGCCATTAAGCTTAACTTGTCATTAACATTTTAAAACTATCAGTAGCTTTGAAAAAACATGGTTATTTTGCAAATACTTGTACAAATATAATTCAGCGGAAGTATCCAAAATGTCGTCAATGTGATAAAAGGGTTACTTGTCTCTTCTTTTGCGTTACAAAATCTGGTGTGATAAAGGTTCTCTACAAAAGTCACACGATTTAAAACCAAACAGAGCAATTGCATTTTTGCATTTTTTATATTGCAGTGGCATTCTTTGTAGGGAAAGCACTTTATGATTCAAGTATGATTGATTGAAATTGCCAAAAAAGTTAAAACACAACAGTGTACTAACTTTGCAACCAAAAAGAGACTGATGATATGACATCCCATTCAATCAAGACACTGCAATATGTAAGAATGACATCCTGTGGTCAATGTTGGGTACAGCAGTCCTTTTTACAGACAAAAACTGACTCAGTCTCCTTCCAGTGTTTGATGGGTGTTGCCAGTTACAGAATAGTTACAGAAGATTCTAGATGACAGGCTAGGATGAGTCATACATGGCCAGTTGATGAGTAAATACATAGATACATTAGAATAAATGGAAATGTATTGTGTTAATTATCATTAATTAGAAAAAATAATGCATGAATAAAAATGTATGCATTTAAGGACAGCTTGCATGAATAAATTATGGAAATTAACCATCGAGTGCCTGCATTGGAGAATCGGCACGAAGGGTTGGAGGGTTCTGCTGCCAGGAATGCTCCAGAGAAACAGACTGAATCTCGCCGTGGCCAGGATAACCGTGTTGTGGAGACACTGGGAGTGAGAAATGGTGATCAGGGTCTAACCCTCACCGGAGCCGTCAGCAGCACGTCTTGCTCGCGTAAGCTGCTGCTTGGCCCTTCCCACGAGACGCGAAGCAGCAGGGGAGCAGCTGTCACCGACCGAGCACCAAGTCACACGAGTGACTTCGTCAGTAAACACAACAACAAGCAGGAGAAAACTACAACATGGTTTGTGTTTTATGTTCTGTCCGTTTTATAATCGCCAATACGGACCTGAAAAACAAAGGAGACCGCTAGCTAGGTGATAACTTCTCACGGGGACGCACAGTTAGTAACTTTTTTTAAAAGTAAAGCAACCGGAAGGCAGTACGTTCTTTATTCTGAAGATCTAGGGAGCTTCGCTTCGTTTCCGCATCCGATTTCCTGGCTTTACTTCCCCAAAAATGTCGAACTTGACCCGTTTCAGAGGCGTCGCGCGTAGAAAATAGAACCGGTGCGTAAGGGCCGCGACATGCTGCTCCTGAGACGTGGCCGACTCAAGCTGCTGACGGCTCCAGTGGAAAAGGTTCTGTTGACGCGCCTGGTCCGGTCAGAGACCATTGTGCCGGAGAGCTGCAAGTTCCCACAATAGAGCTGCTCAGTGGAGAACAATGAGTCAAATTCCTGACCGTTCCCCACAGGTTCAGAGGCCCGGCTTATGTATAAAGACAGTCACAAATGATGGCACTTGACCGCGGCACCACAGCGGTTCCTATCAGCAGCTATGACGTGCTGCTGCAGTAACGTGCTGCTGACGGCTCTGGTGGAAAGAAGGGGTTACAGTGGAGAGTAGAGCTGATAGACTGACTGGACTGGCTGATGGGCACACATTGAGTGATACTGCCAAGAGCTGCCCTGCTCCGGTGCTCTGTAATCGTGATGGAAATGAGGAGGGAGGTGCTGCTGTGGTGAAGGATCCACCTGGCTCTCCATGCTGGAGTAAAGTTGTAAAAAATGGCCGGTCTCGGAATAAAATAAGGAAGACAAAGGCGATGGATGCAGCTTTGAGCGGACGGCCTGATACCGGTGGTCAGAGCAAAAGGTCTGGTCCTGCTCTTATCATCAGTCCTGGAGTTGTGAGTACCATCAAAACAGTGAAGACCAAACTAGTGAGTGTGTTTGCTATGAAATTTTCTCCGGACGTGGATGTAGAAGGCTTGCCGAGTATCTTAACGGTAAACTCCACAGGGTAGTCACGTCAGAAAATGAATGATCCACGCAGCAGGGTTGGCTCATTAAAAGTAACAGCTGAATGTATTGATGTTGGGGAAATGTACGCTCCTGAGCTGTGGCCTGAAGGGGCTCTAGTTCGGCGATATCTTGAGCCACGTAAGGCCACTATTGCAGTTGTTAGCTCCAGTACCGTGCCTCCCGATAAGGAGGTAAATGTGCCATCCAGTGACTCTGTGTCATCTTAAATATGTCACTTAGGGTTTTGTCCTACAACTGCCATGGGCTGCATCTGGGTCTGGGTGCAGGTGATCAAGCTCGACGCTCTGTGGTGGACAGTTTGCTGACAGAATGTGACATATTATGTTTACAAGAAACTTTTATGGCTAAGCAGGATCTTGAAAAGCTGCACTCAATGATAATTTTTTTGGAGTGTCCATAGTCAGAGGCAGAATTCCAGGAGGGGTCGCTGTGCTCTGGGATGAAAGGCTTGATGATATGATTAAGCCTGTCAGGCTTGATGTGGACTGGTGTATTGGTATACAATATGCTTATAAATGTAATACTTTTATTGTTTTAAATATTTATACTCCTTATGAATCTCGGGAGAATGAGGAAGAATTTCTTAAAAGGTTGGGTTTGTAACGATTAAATTTACATATTATTTAACCATAAGACATGAGATTCCATAGAAACCATGAAATCAATCTTATGGATCTTTGGGTACTTTTAACCAGAAGATTGGAACTTTTTATTGCAGGAATTATGTAACCACTTCGTACTAACTCAGAGACAAAAGAAAGAGAGTCAAGTTTTAAAAGTTTAAAGATTTATTACTAAAATTATAACTAGACTCACTTTAAACACTAAATGTATGATGTAACTAAGGTGAAATGAGACGGAGAATGGTGTAGTGTGGAATGTTGTTCAGAACCAGCAAATCCGGAGAAACGATTAGTTCTGATGGGAGTAGAAATGATGTTTTCACGCTAAGCTTTGATTTGGAGACTTATAACACACATAAAGACGCCATTCTGTCGGCCTACTTACCCTTTCGGAAGTCCCTGTTAGATCAGGAAGGTCGAGGTCCAGCTTGACCCTCTCTGGAACCGAAGCCAGTAGGAAAAGCAGCGGTTGCCGACTCAAACCAGTCTTGAGATACTTCCGGGTCACGACAGTTTATTGGCATCTAACAAGACCAAAGACGGGGTCGTGATGGTTCAGCTTTTATTCTGAAAGGAACCATTGCAGCAGGTGGAACAGCAGCAGATTTTATCCAGCTTGTTGTTGGTTCTTTCGGCTGAAGAGGAAAGTTACGGATTGGCCACTCCGACAACTTTGGGCATAGTTTTATAATTTGGATGTTTTGATTTACGGTCGAATGAAAAGATGACAGATTTACCAAGCACCACGAAAACCACGCATCCGTCAGATCTGGAAGATTCTGACTGGATCAGTAAAAGCAATGTGTCATGTGTCTTAACGCTACGTGTAATCAGTCTCTAGTGGAAAGATTTAAAGTTACATTACTTATTATAATCTGTAGGATTATAATCTCAAGTAATTAATATTTTCATTTCACAAATTGGTTCACATTTTATTATTGACTAACACTTTGTTTGATTAGCTTATTAAAAATAGAGTTCTTTGATCTATTAAAAAGAAAGAGTTCTTTGTCTTCATTCTTCTCTTGAGCTGGAAAATACGAAACAGTTTAGAAGCAAATGCATGAGACCTTGAGCAATATCTCATGCAGATTAGTTCTTGCTGAGGAGAGGGGGAAATGACTTAGGTGGAAAACAGTCATTTCATTCTGTTACAGGTTTTATTAATGCTTTTATACAGGACAGTGGTACTTACAGTGTTTATGTTGTAGGAGATATGAACGCAGGTATTGCTGACAATAGTTCTTTATTTGCTAACCATTTTACCCAATTTTGTGCAGAGAACAACTTTACTCTATCAAGTAGAGTTCTGTTACCTGTGGACACTTATACGTACATTAGTGAAGCTTGGCATACCACATCATGGTTTGACCATTGTTTCAGCACTGCTGATGGACATGCAGCTCTGGGGAATGTGTGTGTTGAGTACAGTTGTGCATTAACGGACTGTAACGGCTACCTTTAAAACACCTTCTGTTCCGGTAAAACTTTCAACATAAGTTTTAACCAGGTGTTTTTAATGTTGGTAACTGCTCTTTTAATGTTAACCTTTTTGAGAGTATTTTTGTTTAGCA